ATAAAAAATGGGCTTTTTACTCATAGAACATTATTAGGCCATTTGAGTGGTCCATTGACAATTCAGAATCTAATAGAAGGCTAGGATCAAAACTATACAATTAAAAGACAACAACAAATAACGGCAAATTATGCTGTGTCGTATGCACCCTGCATGATGCATACGGATGCAAAAACGACGTTGTTTTGTATAAAATGCGCGTCTTACTTAAAAAAAATCAGTTTCGATTCCCAACAACAACATTATGTTATTCATTTTTAGTTCATTCATTTTGGATTTTTTAGTTATGAAATTCTGGAAGTGTAGTTATGCAATTCTGGATGTATAGTTATGAAGTTATGTATGTGTAGTTATGCAATTCTGAAATTATAGTTATGCAATTGTGGAAGTGTAGTTATGCAATTCTGAAAGTGTAGTTATGCAATTCTAGATGTATAGTTATGAAATTATGAAAGTATAGTGAAATTATGGATGTGTAGTTATGCAATTCTGAATTATTATTATTTTTAAGTTAGACGCCAAAACGACGTCGTTTTTGCATCCGTATGCACCATGCATGGTGCATACGGATGCACAGCATAACGCTCCACAAATAACAGCTACAAAATCGTGGGAAAGACATGCCAACAAAGACAACATCCTCGAACGATAAGAGTTTCAAAAACATAAAGCCCTTGTTAAATTAGACGTAATTCATTTTGAACAATTATTTACCTTCCTATACACGTGCAGAACCAAGTAGACTCTATCATAATTCAAGATGCTCACGAATTGCGATACAAAAATAGCATGGTTGCAATAGACGTTAGGTACTACTTGAGCGATAGAATAATGCTTAGTGCCTAAGCGGCTAAAAAAAAAAAAAAAGTGCATGTGTGTGGTGTGTCATGTGTCATATTATAATATATATGACACGGTCGAGTTAACTCTGCTAACTCGGTTGAATTGGACGAGTTAACTCAGCTGAATTCGACCGAGTTAGGCGCCTAGAGGGTAATTCACCTAGGTCTAGGGGTGCCTAGCGCCTAGGCCACCGCCTAGGCCGATTTTTGCAACACTGAAAAATAGTGATTCTTTAGCATTTCAGAAACTCAGGTCTTTTAATTTGTACTACCAACAATGAACCACCCTTGTGCTCTACTCTTAAGAACCCCTTCTCTCAACACAACAACACATCATAAGAAAAATAGTGCAAAGTTTTATCACCAACGGTCTATTAATTAACTTTCTTTGTTTGAATCGGTCTGTTATAAATAACCTAAATTGATTTACAAGGCGCTACTTATTTATTGTAAATTTTCTGTCACTCAACCTAAAAAGTTTAAAATTCCAAAAGTGGAATTAGTCCACAATTAATAATATATGTTGTATGAATTTGTTGATTATGCGTTGTATCATAGTGGGATCTGGCATGTGGAGGAATCAAATTAAAGTGTGCGGTGAGAGACTTGAGGAGTGTTGCAGGAAGGTCGGGCGTGGCGTGGCGTGCCGCGCCGCTCCATGTTTTGCTGCACCATACACGGTTAACCCGCAGAATAATTATAGAATAATACGGGCATCCAAATTTTGAGTAGATTAATAAAATAGGAGTTACGTTGTACGCGTGGCACAGAACAGGAAAGGTGTTTCACTTTTAAGGTTGAAATCAAAGAGAAAGGTTTAGTTAAGGTAGCTTCGCTGCTACCTCGATCTCCGAACCTTTCTTCTCCCAGCTTTCATACACGTGAATGTATATGCCCGAACTTGATATTCCATGTATTAACAGTGTACAAAAGCATATATCAACCTTATTTACAATATGGAAAAACTTAAATGTTAAGTTTTCTATTAGTTACCCGCGGTATGAATCTCTAGTGATAGAATAATGGTATATCTAATCTAATCTCAATTAATTATATATTCTTTTGCTACTAGTTCTAAATGAGGATTACATTTAAAAAAAAAAAAAAAAACGTATTAAAATTCATAACTAGTCATAAATATAAGATAAAATAAAAGATACATGATGACTTAACATACAGTCGTATCATATTCCAAGACCATAAATATATATCCTCTTCGATACTAGCTTCTTAATATGATTGATAGAACATATTGGTTTAGTGTATATCGAAATCAATAATTCCCCTATGAAATTGTAGGAAATTCCTTATGAAAATAGATTGAAGGAGATAAATTCATTGACAGCACGTTTGGTTTACGGAATGAATTTTGAGATAATAGGAATATTATTCCATAAGGAATGGAATAGGCAATGAATAGAATAGGAATTGTATTCTATTGTTTGGTTCGTGGAAGGAATAGACTTTAGGAATTATATTACAGTGTTTGATTGATTTAAGGAATAGAAATGGAATATGTTTTAAAAGACATAAATACCCTTATAAAAATATGTGATGGTGGCGATGGTGGCGGCGGTGGTGGTGATGGCGGTAGTAGTGGTGGGGGCGACGGTGGTGGTGGTGACGGTGACGGTTGTGGCAGTGGTGGTGGGGGGCGGCGACGGTTGTGGCAGTGGTGGTGGTGGTGGTGGCGGTGGCAGTGGTGGGGGCGGCGGTGGTGGTGGTGGGGGCGGTGACGGTTGTGGCAGTGTTGGTGGGTGCGACGACGGTTGTGGCGGTGGTGGCGGTGGTTCTGGTGGTGATGGTAGTGGTGGCGACAACGGTGGTGAAATATGATAAATTTATATATAGGATAAAAAAAATTAGGTTAAATGAAAGGGGTAAAAATGAAAATAGATTCTAAAATCTATTCCTGAGCGTTCAGTAATAGGCTAATACCAGGGGGCTGCCTAGTAATAGCTATTACCTTATTTGAGGTAATAGGCTATTACCAGGAATATTATTCCTGGTAATAGAAATGGTTACCAAACAAAGGAATATGCCTATTACTGAAAATGTTATGCCATTCCCGGCCTATTTCGTGAACCAAACGGGCCATGAAAGAATTGGTCTAGAGAAGCCTGTTAATGAAAATTGCCCAGAAGAAGAGAAAGGAATTGCTCTGAAGGGTTAGGGCCATTATATAGGTGGAGGTTCTGACTCTTCTAAAATAAAATAAAATACTCTGTATTTTTTAAATGACACTTGACCCTGGACCCTGATCCGAACATCAAACTAATGCACAAAACGTATAAGACGGTATACTCAAAAAAAAAAAAAAAAAAAATCCCTGTCAATGACTTTTGTACAATTTAAGGTAGTGGGTCTTTGGATTATGTAAGGAAACCTTCTTATTATTTCCCTCTTAGCTTCTTCGTCTACAATAATGGAGAGTCTCCATCAATGACTCCTTAATTAACAGCTCACCATGTACATGTATACACCAACCATAAAATAATAAGTTTATTTCACTTAACTTAACCAAAAAGACATGTGATTTCCCATTATGTTAAAATTAGATACGGCATTTTGTAACACAACACAAAATTGGACACAAAAATAACACGTTAGTGTTTAGCCTTAACATGTCCCGAATCGTTAAAGGATTGGCCGGTTAAGAACTCATTTAAAATTATAGTGTATTAACGTGTCAAATTGTTTAACTTATTAAGAAACCCACGTTAATATTATGATTTTTTGATATTATTCTATCATTTTATGAATATTATGATATATTATGAATTGAATATCTTTACTATATTTTATTGGATTTAATTGTATGTTTAAAAAAAATTGTTGCAAAGTTGATTTTCTAAATATAGATTTATATTAACATATATGTCTAATGGGTTTTTAACGAGTTATCTTGTCATATTGTGTCATGTGTGGACCCAAAATATGTTACCTAAACATTTTTATCATATCAACCCGTTTAACATAACCTGTTTAAAAATCATATCTATGTTTAACCTTATCATGTTCATGGTATTATTGTGTTAACATGTTCTCATGCCTAGTTAAAATTTTAGTCTCCTATTTATTGTTTATTTGTTTTTTTTTTGTTTTTTTTTTTTTTTTGTATAAAATCTAGTACATCTGCTAATTGACTAAGTCTGCCAATATTTTTGGTAAAATTAATTGTTATTTATTAGAATAGGTGTAATATTTAACTTCATTAATGTATGTTATTATTGTCCTGATTTTTTTTTATTTTTTTTAAACTAACTGGTATTAGAGTATTTCACTTATTACTAGGACTATGTGGTTTAATGGTACCCGGGTTGGACTTCCATTTAGAAGGTTGTGAGTTCAAGCTTCAGTGGAGGTGTTATTGGCTCTTTGTGTTTTAGTAGGTGAACAGATACTACAATGTAATAGAGCCAGTAGCATTCAGAAAAAAAAATATATAAGTAAATATTATTATTTAAATATTACCTATTGAAATAAGACAACTACAATATATTAAAGATTTTTATTTTAAAAAATACACATAACATTAGATGATTAATTAAAAAATATTAGCATATATAAAAAAAAAAATGAGTTTCCAAAGTATAAGATGGAAATTTCAATGGTTAGGATACCAAAATGATCTAAAACATAATTTTTATTAAAAAAAAAAAAGTTTCTAAAGTATATAATATGGAAATTTCTATGTGTTTTTTTTTTTTTGGATAACAATATAAACTAACAGTACTACTCAAGGACATACATTAAGTAAACTCGACTCATTTGTAATAGCTCACAATTAACCAACATTAAGCGGTGAACTCGACTAAAAGAATATTGACAAGAATCGACTTACTTTTAAAATGGCATCATCTACTGCATATATGATTCGATATCAATATATACTTATTTTACATGTTTATTTATTTTTATTTTTACTTTTGAAAATGGCTTATTTTACGTGTTTACTAATCATTAGATAGATAAACTTATTTTTTTATTGTTTTTTCATTATTTTACACTTTTTATATTTAAAATATTTTAATTTTAACGCAATTTCAAATATATAAATGGTTTGCACTAATACTAAGCTAAATATCATAACAGAATTTGAATGGTAAGTAATTTAAAATAAGTCTCATTAACTAACTGAATATATACATAAAATGATACAGAGAAACTATATATAACTTAAACATTAAACCGTATGTCATCATATCATAAAATTTACATATGGAGTTCGCAAAAGAAAAAGAAAAAGAAAAAAAATCGAAAGTATATAGTATTAAGGAAACTACAATAAACACTAGGGGTGTTTTGGGGCATACAAAAATTCCCCAGCACGATAACCCCATAAATTTACATACGAATACGGATGTTTAGTTTAATTTCTTTCTAATCAGTCAAATAATCACGAACAATTAACGGATAATTACCTGAGTCGTCACGAAACCCCCATTTCATGCGACGGTGCATCATCATCGTACGTATGACGTACGCCTACATTAGCCTTTAATCACGACCACTAAACAACAAGCTTATGTTCTTTCTTCAATTCATCAATAATTACCAGATCATCAGTAGTAATTCAAAAACGAATAATAACGATCGAGATCGGCCATGCTATCATCGTACAGACCGCCGAGAGCCGCGCCGCCGTCCGGCAGCTCCCACGATATCTCCGTGGGCGTCACGTCAGGGCTGATCCCGGCGTCCTGAGAAAAACTCTCCGCCTTCAGCGCCGCCGCCGTGGTGGTGGTGTCGGAGTTAGGGTAGAAGAGGGCGGAGGGCGGGTTCTGGAGGTTGAGAGAGCAGGGAAGAGGCGCCGCCGGCGGTTTGTCGTCGGAGTAATCTGTGAAATCGGTTAGAGGTGGGAGCTTTGAAGGGCTTTGGAGTAGGTGATGATCAACGACGGAGATGGAGTCGATCCTTGATACGGCGTCGTTGTGAGGCGGACTTCTTCTCATGTACACAACTCCTGTGGTCTGCTTGTGAAACACTCTGCATACAACCCATTCTTCCTGAAATTACAACAACAAAACAATTAGTTTTTTTTTTTTTTTTTTTTTTTGCAATTAATTTGTTTTATAATTTAATAGAGATGTTAATTAATGCTCTACATTTTTTCATTAGAGTGTGCTTTGGACCATTGGATGGAATAAGGGAAATAATTAGTAAAATTATTGTTTTATTAACTTTGGTGAATTAGGATTTATGAAAAATAATTGTAAATTAAATTTAAAAAAAATCATAATAACTCAAAAACTACAAGTAATTAATAACCTTTATAACACATAATTAAACCAATAAATTCACCATGATTATTAAGTTTTTAATTAACTCACAGCTAAAACAGCATATTGACCTCTATGGTTTAATTTGAGCAGGTCAACTATGAAACCAAGGCTGAAACTAGGCAGGTTTATTGTGTGGTCGTTACAAAACTAAAATTACAAGGTATAATTTATCCTGTGCAGACCATTAGATAGTGGTTGTTGGTTCAATATTAATTTTTTTTTTTTTTTTTAAAAAAAAAAAAAAAAGAAGAAGAAGAAGAGAGAGATATATACATACCCTTGTTGTGTTGTAAAATTGGGTGGGATGGAGTCTGTATTCATGCATGATCCAATTGGTTTTCTGTCCTTTGGGAGCTCTGCCTTTGTAGAAAACAAGGGTTTTCTTCATCCCAACAACGCAGTTACCGCTCCCTCTGCCGGACTGGAAAATCTCCTTATCTTTTCCGGTGGCCTTCCAGTAACCGGACTCCGTCGCCCGGTTCGTCCGCGTCCCCGTCGGATACTTCCTGTCCTTCTGCCAAAAGAAGAACCATTCCTTCTTCCCCATCATCTTAGCTTTCCCTGCAATCAAATCTCCATTATCAATACTGTTTATACAAATTATATTCAACTAAATAACACCGCATGCACTCTGAATCGGAACTTACTGGGTAAATCCCAAGGTTCGCATTTGTTGAGGTCGACCTCTCCAATGGCGACGGAGCTGAAGGTGATGTCCGTGACTTTCTTCTTAAGATAATGAACGATGATCTCTTCGTCTGTGGGATGGAACCTGAAACCCGGGGGAAGGTAAACCACCGCGGCCTCGTCGGCCGCCGCCGCCGCCGCCTGTTCTGTGTCTGCTCCTCCTCCTCCTCCGTGACCCACCAGCGGGTCAAAACTCGCAGCTTCCGGCACTGTTTCCATGTCCGTTGAGATAATAATAATATAATAATAATGGACGACAAAAACTAACAGAGGCAACACGGAGAAAAAGCATCGGTATAAGAAGATAGGGTTACGTCGATGGCAAGGCACTTGCTGAGGAAGCCTCCGTGTCCCCGGATAGGATGGCCTCAGTGGGGCCCGCCCCTAGTTGAAAAAAGAATGTGAACACAAAAGCTTGGGCCCCACACCCCTAAAAGTAGTTACTATATTCTCTATTTTTTATTTTTTTTTGGAAACTACTATATTTCTATATTTTTTTTCTTATATATTTTAAAAGACTTCTGCATGTGTGTAATCTCAAATCTTATTCCCTGATAGGGTGGATGTTGATAGATTATTTTTGTATGTGACCTTTTATTAAAACGTTTACATCAGAATTTTAAGTGTGAGAGTAAAAGTTGAAACTAGAAAATAGGAGTACGTATTTATATTATTTTCCTTTTAAAAAATGGTAAGTGTATTTCTTCTCTTTAGAGTAAAATTCACGTCTTTATCATTGATTTATTGAAAATTTCGAGTACTACTAAGGTGTAACAAAGCTCAAAATAAGATTCAAATTATGTGTCAGCAATTAATATATTCTTTATATGTGCATTTAAATAAATTGAAATTAGTGAATGACATTATGATCAAGTGGTATGAAGTGACTCGGAGTGCATAATATGTTAATAATATCTTATAATGTTATCTGATTGACTCAAGACTAATTAATAGGTAAAAATTATGATTCGTTTTTTATTTAATCAATCAAAAAGGGAGACCAGACAGGCAAAAGCATTAGCTTTTTTTCCTGGTTATTAATTGAAGTAGATAATTGATTAATTAGCTAAGAAAGTCGTCCCGCGTATTCAATACTGTTATTGAAAGTTTCTTCTCCTGAATCCTGATCTGATAAATAATGGACATTTTATGAATGTCATTTTCTCGAAGTGCTTACAAGTCTCAATCCACAATCATACTTTTGAGATTTATGTATGAAAATATGGGTTAGTTTAATTAGTTCAAATTTATGTGTAAAATAAGTGAATTGAACCAACAGTCTAGATTATATTAAGTCTATGACTTCTAATTTATTTATTTATTGAGACAGTTTGGTTCTCTAATACATACCTAACTAAGGTGGTCTAAGTGCATCTATCCTCTATAAGTTTTAATTTTTTGTAAAGTAAAAAAGAGATGGAGGAGAAATTTTAAAAATATGAAAAAAAAAATGCATTAAACGCATTCAACGAGCACATGTCGGTTGAACGCTTTTAATGTGTCAAACCCGCACAAGCTAAGCTTGCCTTTTTTTCTTTTTTTTTTTTTCCCTAATATGCGAGACCCACAAAAGATTTATCTTTTCAACCGATCTCTCGCCTCTCTAATCTCCTACCTTCTATTTCTTCAACCTCACCTAAAATTTCAAATATAAATTCAATTTGTGTCATTGTTAGGGTTCGGATACTCTAAACATACTTATATTAAGTGTAACAGCAAGTCTCGTTGGATGCTACTTAAATTATGTTGCGTTAACTTTTGTTCAAGTTACAAAATTATTTACATAACATGTATTTCGGGAAACAAGTGAAAAGCTTTAGTAAAAGTATTCAATAAACTTGGCGGAGGTATTATTGCTTTTAGAGAATACAAGATTACACATACATTACAAGTTATTTTCCCAACTATTTATACAACTCAAATTATCAAATTTTTGGACTCATATGAAATATGAAAAGTAGAATTCTAATTAAAAGTTAGTTAATTTCTAAAACATTTTTTTAAAAAATCATCTCCAAAATAATAAGAAAAATGATCCATTAAAATTAACTTGAGAATATAATCTTCCATATGCGCTTCTCATAAATACAATAACGTGAAATAGTTATTGTGTGGACCGTGGTCCATACAGATCGTTTTGGATCATGGTCCACATAATTGACCATGAGTGTATCTAAGGGTTCTACCATCGAACACAGTGATTTAAGACTGCTTCATATCCAAAGCTAATGATCAAACCATTGACTTTTAGTTAAAGATAGATAAGTCTCTTCCACCCAACCACACCCGTTATCACTGTGGACATAATATTTGCCAATAACGTGTCTGATCCCCTAAATTTCATACCATAATAAGTTCGGAATTTGGACCGAGATCGAATTATTCATAAATTCATTTGTTTCACCATAACTCTTATCGGTAATACAAATAATTTATTAATTCATGAATCTTGTGGCCCAGATTTGCTTTGAATTTGACTTGAACTTCTCCAATCGGTTGCTTCGGATAAAATTGCGCAAATTTCCACCGTCCAAATTAACGATTCCCAGGAAGGCATAGTCTCAAAGTTAAAGATTTTGAGTGCAATGCTTCAAGATTTGGATATAACAGCTGAAATAAATATAACCGATAAATTAATAAATTATTATATATCAAATTCTGGGGAATCTCGACTTTTGGTTTAGGAGATTTGCATACTTTTCAGTTTTCTCCGAAACCTTTTTTCTCTCTCTCACGGTGGTCCCTACACGACGATGACGTCACGTGACGACAGGCACACCTCATCTTCACCGTCTTTTTCTGCGTCCGCAATCCCAAGCCTACGCTTTTGAGTTTTATGACGGCTTCTTTAGCTTCAAATAAGGAATTTATTTAAAAAATACATAAATAAATAAGCTAACATATTAACTTTCGTGGTGGCCTGGTGGGGGATTATTTATTGTACAGAGTAGTTTGCAATCCAAGGTGGCACCATGCCACCATGGAATGATATAAAGAAGTTTTTTTTTTTTTTTTTTTTTTTTTAAGTCCGTACGGATTTATCTCATTAATTCAGTATATAGTATTTAAAAGAAGAGACTAATGTTAGAACTTCAGCAAGACACATACATTTAACCATATCTGCTGAGTCATTGAGTCACCGTGATTTATATTTTCTCAAATGCTCGTGGGGCTGGGATTGAGCCGTTAGGGATTCAACCCTTAAGAGAAGAAGAAGCAAGCCATCTTTAATGTGTGTGTAAAATAAGAGTGTTTGACGATTTGTTAATAGTTGATAATATTATTTATTTTGAACAATGGATAATACTAACGATTTGTAAAAATGAATTTTGGTAAATTAGTTATTTAATGTTGACTGATAATATGTAAAATAATTAATAAGAATATGAATTTATTCTTTTATTTATTTAGTTATTCTTAAATTATTTAACGCTTTCGATATAAATTTAAAAACACTTTAATTTTAAAAATATGTTTAATTTGTTTTAACTATTACTTTTATTAAATTCCTAGACAATATTTTTACATTATTTTTCTACATTAAGAGTTTAGATAACTTTTTATATTTTTCTTTTTAATTTTTAAGATTATTGGAAATTAATTTCAATATTAATTAAAATATTTGATCAAATAAAACAGTCTAAATATTAAGCCAACTCTATAAATTCGCAAGTGCTTGCATAACTGGATATGATTACTCTACATACATTTACTATACTAATAAGAGGGCAAGGGAGTTAGGTCTATAATATGTATAAATTATGGCGACCAAATTTTTTAATCAAATGAATGGCTCAGATTGATCAGATTTTAATTTTTTCTTAAGATTTCTTAATTTATCCTTAATGAATATGATTATCCGTTAACTTTTTTGTTACATATTATCTTTTCCGTTAATTTCTCTTAGTTCACCGTTAACTTACTCATTAATTTCAATAAGGAAGTCTTAAGTTCGAACCCCATCCCACAACAAATTCAAATTGACCATCAGCAGAGCTGTTTAGATTAACATGTAAAATGACCTAAGGGTATAATAATAATAATAATAGTTTTTAATAAAAAAGTATGCCAATCATATTAACTACTTGGGGGGTTTATTGATAAAAATAGTATTCAAATCACACAACAAATTGAAGTGGAAAACTACCTTGCAATATCTTTGTTTGGCAATCACCAGTTAGCTCTTCAATATTAGTATATATTTAATATTTTATGCCCTAATTTTTATTTGCTCTCCCTTATGTCACGTATTTGGTTTCAACCATACCTATACAATTATTTTATTGACATTATAATCAATCTTGACTATATTATATTGCATTTGTAAACTTAGGATTTACCTATTTAAATACGCAAATTCAACATACAATTATCTATGCATGAACAATTCCAATATAATCTTGCTTGATATATACTTTAAAGTACTTATTAAAAAAAAACATTGAACATTATCTCAATCACGCAATGCGCGTAAAAAACTAGTACATATATACACATCAATACACGGATCAATTAACTGGATTACTTGGTAGGGTCCATAATACTTGGAGGCCAACTTTAGATTAATTTTAATTGATAAAGAGACTTGTCTATAGGGCTGAACCTTTAGATATACCCAATCCCCTTCAGCAAGGGTCCTCTCACTTCTGCCTCTGTCTGCTTGGACCTTCATTCTATCATGGGCCTGTCTCAAGTTCTCTTTGAGTGTTGCTAACATGGCTGCTCTTTCTGTTAGCTAGTTGACCTCCCCTTTAGTTGCAGGATTGTAGGCTAATAAAGGAGGATGTTACCCATATAGTGCCTGGAAATGAGAGCACTTAAGAGAGGAATGGTAGTTGGTGTTGTACTACCATTCTGCAAGGTATAGCCACTTTCCCCAATCCTTAGGCTTTTGGAAGATCATACACCTTAAATAGCCCTCCACACACTTGCTGACTTTCTCAGTTTGCCCATCAGACTGAGGATGGTAAGCAGTAGAAAGATTTAGCTTCACTTGCATGTTCTTAAATAGTGCCTGCCAAAACTTGCTAGTAAACACTTTATCTCTGTCTGATACAATATTTCTTGGCAGCCCATGCAATCTGTACACATTCTCCATGAATAATTCAGCTATAGTTTTAGCTGTGTAAGGGTGAGTTAATGCAATGAAATGAGCATACTTTGTCAGCCTGTCCACTACCACCAAATAACATCCTTGTGCTTAGACTTAGGTAATCCCTTTATGAAGTCCATAGAGATACTTTGACAGGCTTC